TGATACATGGGTTATACATTTGCTTGAAAAACGCATTTTGTCTGCTACTTTTATATTTCTCATGAAGCAAGCAAATAGAGAGATAGGGTGTCTTTTATAAAATTTAAAAAAAATGGAGACAGAGAAAGAATTGCATCTGTGTATAATTACAGCTGATGTGCTGCAAATTTACTGATCTTTTGTGAGCTCATCCTCAACAAAACCTCACACAATCATCCCCTTTTTATGCCAACAAAATTAGTTTTATAGCCTGGACTTTTCTACATCATAAATGCAAAAATAAAGCAGTGTTTTATAACTGTATAATAAAACAGTAAAGGGAAATATTATCGGCACCATTATATTTCTAACGAGCTATAATACATTGCTGTATGCTGGTTTCTAGGTTAAGCCTGGCTGTAAATTTGAAAGCACATACAACCATGTAGTACTTTCACCTTATATGATACAATATAGAATCTTAAAATATACAAACTGTATATTTAAAACAAAGTAACCACAAATTCTTACAGTTCAGAAAGCAGCAGTATTCCTGTAAAGAGAGGGCATCGTTTACTGAAATCGTTTTTACTAGGCACACCCAATTTTGATTTTCATGAGGCCAAGATAAGTAACACTGATTTCTTAAGTTATTTTAACAACAAACTTAACTATTCAAGCTTCACGTTCGCTTTTAGGATTAGTAATGCATATCAGATAGATGCTTGCATTTAAATAGAGCTCTTAATTTTATTTTAAGACTGTAAGAAAGGCTTTAGTGGGTCAGACCAGTGGTCTATCCAGCCCAGTTTTCTGTCTCCAGCAGTGGCAATAGGAGAGGTTACTCACAGAGAATAACAAGCCCAGCTGTCTTCAGAGGTCCATTCCTCTTTCACTTCCCACGATACAACATTGTTGTGTTAGGGGTGCCAGAGGTACATCCCTACCCTATGGTCCATCTATTTGTCTAATCCCTTTTTGAACCTGTTGACACAATTTGCCTCTACAATCTCATGTGATAGCGAGTGCCAGAAGTCCACTACCTTGTGTTTAAAAAAATGCTTTATCTGTTTTAAGCTGATGTATTATTTTTATTAAGTTCTCATATTACAGGATAGAGTGAACAGAAGTTCTGCCTTCACCTTATCCACTATTTTCATGACTTCGTAATGCTTTATTACTTTTCTTCCTAGCCTTCTCCTTTCACTGCTGAAGACTCCCAACTTTTTAGTCTCTCCTCATAAGGTAGCTGCTCAATCTTTTATGCATTTAAGTTGCCCTTAGAGTTACATGTTGTTACACAGAATGTCAAGATATCTTTAAATTTTTTTGAGAGCTTCTCAGCAAATTCTGGGATCCAATTGCCATACCGGTGAAAAGAAAACTGAAGGTTTCCATATAATCAATCTGATAGTTGGTTTTCTAGTAAGACAGGTTACTTTTCCTTATTGCTTATTCCTAACGGTTCAAAAAAATTAATTCTGGAGAATATAGTTTGATTTTCCTCCTTACTAATTTCAACCTTCTATTTTATACGTAACTTACATTAACTTCAAATTTAAAATTTTGAGGAGTACCTCATTTATGCTATAGCAGGCTAATATATTTAGCTGTGCCTCAGTAATACTTACACTTTCCTCTAATGTGCTATTTGGTTATTCCTTTAATGCATTTATCTATCTACAGCTCTTTTAATTATGTTAGGCTCTTCTGGAATGTCTTTAAAGTTTTCCTCAAAGACTCTGAATCATATATATTCATTGCCTTCTCTGACATTCAGTATTTCTCCTGCTCTAGCAACTTAGGCTGAACACTGGTTTTGAAAACTTTCCTTTTTGCTTTCATTTGAGGGGTGTTTTTTCCACCTCGTATGTTAGAGGTTTAATTTTGCATTAGTAACAAGTATTATGTACAAGTACAGAAGCTTATGGCCACAGGTAGCTATCTTCTTTTCTCCCAGGAGAAAAATACGAGCATTGTGCTGACTGTTACTGATTTATAGAACACAAAGGCCTCATTCATTCTTATTTCAAGGTCATCACTATGTGATCTTCTTGACAAGTTTGAACAACTTGCAGATAAACATCAAGAAGTCCTCATGAATAACAATGACTAAACTGTCAAGACAGTTACAGTATGATTGAAGAGAGCATCCTCTAAATGCAACATATGCTAAGGAATGTGGAGAAAACTTCCATGCCTTACAGTTGTGATAAAATGGGATATGCCATTTTTAATGTAATGGTGAACTGGATTACTGATTGGACTCAAGTCTTAAATGAATGGCTTATTTAGCCAAGAAGAGAGGGGGTTTGACATTTTGAATAAACCAGAGTGATGTGCAGGAAGCTCAGAGAATATAATATCTTTCTCTGGCTCCTTTGTTCCTCTGTGGGAGGCCACTGTATAGCATTCAAGGAAATTCCTTGATGCTGCTGAGTTTCATGTGAGCAGACTGACAGGATGCACAGTTTGGCACAATTGTCTATTTCTGATCAGGATTACAAATAGCACGGGTGGCAAGGATCCAAACTGACCTATACTGGCGGAATAATTTGAGTAATTATTCAGGGAACCGTACCGCAAACACATTTAATCCTTTACTTTCATGTGGAGTTCAAAATGCTGCAAAAATCTCATGGTATGCCGCACAATTGTGAGTTCCATGCTGCACACGTTGATTAATAACGTGGTGAGGTATGACATCAGACTGAGACAAGAAGATACATACAACAAGGTTCTAAAGAGTGATAAACTGGGTTTATTTAATTCCTAGATAAATTTCATAGAAGTAGGACACATATGTGAAAATTGGATGGTAAAGATTCCCATGCCCAGTACGACTAGGAATGTCATGTATACTAATTAAGCAAACAGAAACCAGAAAATAGTTTGTATGTATTTTTGAGGTGCATACAATTCACAATAGAACAGGTTTCCAGTCTCAGTGCCAGATAAGCCTAGCCAAAAAGGATAATTGATTGGTTTTATGCACCATTGCACAGTGTCTAAAGGCATTCATAATCTATGGTTGATTGCATTTTGAATATTGCCAAAATGAATACAATCCCCTCACTGTTGAACAAGATCATAATATTTATATTGACAATTGAGAACTTTCAATAATACATAGTCCCATCACATCTTTTCTATAAAATTAAGACTCTTTTATGTCTGAAATCAAAAACAGATTGCACAGTCCAAATAGTAAGGATTTTGTCAGCATTTTTCAATTAAAATTGCTTATTTGTAGAAGTTGTGTCTTTGTCATATAAATATGAAAATACATTCTCACAGTATGGACTTGGATTCAATTCAACTTCCAGTTTTTCTTGTATGTCCTTATAGTAAGTTATCTGCCCTCTCAGAATGAGATATGAAGGAAGTTCTTAGTTTGTGAGGCTGAGAGAATAAAACAATGTTCCCATTTAAAAATCATTTGTCTCAAAAGTTAGTATTAAATACGGAGACATCTTTCAAGAAGAGTGACCAGATTCACTTTGACAAAGCACAGGCTGAGGGAGAGTATGTTCTCTCTCTGAAAAACATCCCACTTTTGAGCCAAAATTTGGAATAAAAAGTTATTTCAAAATATCTGATAGAACATGGAAACAATCACTATATTCTGTGAGTGTCCCAGTCAAGGAAGAATGTAGGATCACTTTTAACATACCCAATTTTCAGGCACTTCAAAAAATTCTTCTCAGACTTGAACTTCACTGTATGCATTTAAGTATTTTAAAAGTTTTAAAAACTATTTTATTAAAATATCTTTAAATCCACCTTCTTTTTGTTTTCTAATTGCCCTGCTATTTGGGCATAGAGTCGAGAGTCAATAGATCTTAATTTTATTTCCATCACTGCCGTTCTGTGCTTTTAGAATTCTGTGCTTTGAATTCTCCATGAGTAAAACATGGATAAAAATAATTTCCTTGGCAGAAAGCTTCAGGATTTATTGATGAAAGTATCTCTTCATACAAACCGATGAGATTAATTTTGGTTGCTGGGCTTACAAAAAAGCTGTAAGGTATCTGGATATCCTAGAACAATTTTGAGACCTAAAATGATTGATCTTTCTTTAAGGGAACAGTTTAACAAGCTTTCACCTGCACGAAAGGCAAACAGGCTATCCCAGGCCAAGGCAAGGATAACACCAGCCATACTTGTCTTTTTTTAAGGGAAGTTTTTGTTGTCAAACTTAAGCGAAAAAAAAAGGTAAGTGGAATAGCCTCACCCTTGCAGTATATCCAGTGGACCAGCAGTTACATTTTGCTTATGGAAGGCTTAGATTGAAATTCCTGCT